TTTGTTTTTATGGTAATCTGTTACCTTTTTCTTTTGAAATAAAATTATCGTTCTGAAATAAAAAAAAATACTGGTTATAAAATAAGAAATAAAAAATTTGAAAAAAAAAACTAACACATTTTTTTACATTTTAATAATGTGTGGTTATCTAATTGAGATTGTGTTCGATGGTTTTAGCGGTGTTATCCAACCCTGGGATTGTTTGCCGTTTAGGATTTATGTAAGTGGTTGTGACTGCAAATATATTTAAAAGAAATAAAATTTTATCATGTATTAACTAGACTGTATTTTAAAAAAATATAAACATAATATGTATTAAAATAACCATTCAAGGAGTAACCCAAATGGCAACACCAATAAAAAATTTATAAAATGTTCTTAGAATTAATCTAGCCTAATAAAAGAGTTGACATGTATTCTTACGGTGTGTTTGTTTATCATTATACTCAATTCATATTCAATTCATATTCAAAACTTAACTCAACCTTAACTAAATTTCACTATCTTTGATGATATCAATATAATTAAATAATATTAATCATTCATTCTTACATATCATATCAATTTTGTTCATCTACTCACATAATTTTAACTGATTATTGCTTCACATTTATGTCATAATTTTATGTCAAATCAAATTAATTATTTTATTTTAATATTATTTCAGTATAAATTCAAAATCTATTAATAAATAATCATACCACATTTTCAAAATTAACCATACTTAATAAAAAAATTCCCTTTTGCGTGAATATATTTGTACCTAGTTAACTTTAATATTTTTTTATAATAATGATTACCAGTTTTGACACAATACTCGTATAATTAAAGGGGTTGATTATTAAATTTATAAAATTAAATAGTAAAAAAAATTAAAAATAGACATTTATCTTACAATTTTAATACTTCCTAAAAAATTATATTGTTATTTTCGATTAAATCTACTCCCTTTATATTTATTTATTTTTAACTTAAACATGAAATATGAGCGCAAAATCAAATTTTCTATAAAAACATAAATTTTGAAATATTAATAAAAACGATAAAATTCTAAATACATAATATAATTTATACTAATAAAAATATTTTACAATTTTATAAGGCTGGCCATAGATACATAGAATTCCTACACATTGCAAAAACCACAAAATCCTCTCTATATAATTTATGAACGTGCTGAGTTTAAATGGCAGACTCGCATGTTTCGGGATCATATGTGGCAAAATTGCATACTTCATTATTTGACTTGGATATTTTAATTACTTCCAATCAAAAAATAATTAGGTTCGTATTATCCATAAATATGTTGATCGTTTATGGTCATGTTAGATTAATTAATTGCATTTAATATTATTTCATATTATTACCATTGAATTATAAATTTATTTTAAAAGTTAACAATTTTTTGTATTTTTATTAGTTTATACATATAATATACGAATTAATCATCTATTGATATGATTTGATTTGACACCATATTGTATGTATAAAATAAATAAATTATATTTAGCCTTATAATAATTAATATTAATTAAAAAACTAAAATTATTTATCAATTAATATTTTTTTTTGTTTGGAACGGTAGAGATATTATATAAAAAAAAGGCACAAAAGTGCAAAGGCAACCACCAGCTGAATACAAATAGCCAACAGTTGAATACAACCAGCCAACAACTAAAAATGGGAGGACGGGTCAAAAGACCGCCTAGAACCGACCCCAAAAGGGTAATACTCAAAAAACACTACAAAAACACAAAAAACAACACAAAGACCCCAACATGGTAATACCAA